GCTCATGTAAAAGAAGCATCCGTCGGAACACAACTTGGTCAGCGATATATATGAGCTTAAAGCGGAACATACCTAAGTTCGACACTGTCTTACTATCTCAGACTGGAGCAGCTTACGACGAAAGTACTTAAGCAAAATTCTAACAGACGTAAACGCATTGAGTTGTGGGCCAAAAACATGAAAAACTTCGGGAATTGCGAACGCCATTTCCCCCGCGCGACATCCGCAAAAATCCTCGCAGAATGTACGCGCGTGTGCCGCACGGGATGGCGCAATTTGTTCTAAAAATAGAAAAATTGTCCCATATCATAGGGACAGCCCCAATACTAGAAATGGCGCACGCTTACGGTCTCCGTCCCCGATTATGGCTCCTGATATTTATTTATTTATTTATTTATTTATTTATTTATTTATTTATTTATTTAGAAACGTAGGCTTAGGCTTTGTCGTCAGAGGAGGGGGTGGCCACCCCCTCATAGGCCTGTAGCTCGGGGGTGGGCTGACGTCAGGGCGCTGACGTCATGAACAGGCGCGATAGAGCATAATGGAAAAGCTCAGTTTTACATAATAGATGAAACAGGAAGTGGTAACTTATCAATTGTGTAGATCATATTTTATAATTCTATACATATTTTAGTCTTCGGTAAAGAAAAAAGAAGGACTACTGACAGTTGGATGCCAGAACTGCTATACGTCAGGTGGGGAGATACCCCCTGATGACGTCATCGCCAGATTATATAAAAAAGGCTTCGTTCACCTCTCAGAACCAGAGATGCATTTAAGCAACCTTTGTGACAAGACTTTCTCTTTCAATTTTTGTCATATCATTAAAAAAAATTTACGTCAAAAGTCGTTTCCTTTTTTTCCTGGATAGGAACTATTACTTGTTCATTTCGCGGTGTTTTCTTCGAACATGCTGGTTCAGGTTGTCTGCGCGGCTGAATCTCTGGCGACAGTGAGGGCATGGGAAGGGCTTCTCTCCGTTGTGGAGTCGAACATGCTGGTTTCTGTTTCTCAACTGGCTGAATTTCTGGCGGCAGTGAGGACAGGAGAAGGATTTCTCTCCTGCATGAACTAGAGCATGCTTTTTCATGTTTATCACCCGCTGGAATTGTTTGGCGCAGTGTGGGCACTGAGAAGGGTTTCTTGCCGGTGGGAACTTGAGCATGCTTTTCATGTTTCCTCAATGTTCATAAATCAGCAAAACGCCTAGTACATCCTTCATGCTTACTCTTTTATAGTTTCTGGCCGGTGTGTATCCGCCGGTGATTGGTCAGTGATGTGCAATGCGAGAAAATATGCAAATCATAACATGTGACATGGGTTTTTTTAATGATTTGAAAAAGTTCAATACCAACACTAACAGCTACAATAAGAAGTCCAGGGGCGTTGCTGGACTTGAAAAAACTAAACCTATCAAATCACGTAGGGTGCCAGAGGCGGTGCTGGACTTGAAAAAAACTAAACCTATTAAAACACTAGGGTGCCAGAGGCGCTGCTGGACTTGAAAAAAACTAAACCTATTAAATCACGTAGGGTGCCAGGGGCGCTGCTGGACTTGAAAAAAACTAAACCTATTAAATCACGTAGGGTGCCAGAGGCGGTGCTGGACTTGAAAAAAACTAAACCTATTAAATCACTAGGGTGCCAGAGGCGCTGCTGGACTTGAAAAAAACTAAACCTATTAAATCACGTAGGGTGCCAGAGGCGGTGCTGGACTTGAAAAAAAAAACTAAACCTATTAAATCACGTAGGGTGCCAGAGGCGGTGCTGACTTGAAAAAAACTAAACCTATTAAATCACAATTTAAAAAATATAGAGTTTCATGGAGTCTGTGATTTTTTTTCCTGGCCCCCCCAAAAAACTGTTCACTCATGACTGTGTTTACATCGAACATGCTTGTTCATGTTTTCCACCCGGGTGAATTTCTTATTGCAGTGTGGGCATGAGAGTGACCTCTCCCTTGCATGGACTAGAGCATATATTGCTTTTTCATGTTTCTCACTCCGGCGAATTGGCTTTGTTAATGATTTGGAAAAGTACAATATCAACACTAACAACTACAATAAGAGTGCCAGGGGCGCTGCTGGACTTGAAAAACTAAACCTATAAATCACAATTTAAAAAATATAGAGTTTCATGGAGTCTGTGATGGAGTGTGAGAAAGCATCATCGAGACGGGCGATTTTTGCCAAGGAGTAGCCACGTGAAGTGGCAGGGAATTTTGCTCTGAGTTTTTCACTAAACTTTTTGAGCATTTCTGTGCATATCTCAAGCTCCATTGGGCCGATCACTCTGATCTGGGTATCATTGCAAAGATCTTTACCTCCTGCAGAAGATGAGCATGGACGATGCCAATTTTGACGTCAGAAGTGGAAGAAAGGGCACGGCTCGTCACGGCCAGCACAGGAGTCAATGGGTTAAGAAACAAACTTGATATCAGTGAAATCATCAATATCTTTACTAGTGAGGATATGGAAAATATGCCACCAGGAGCCTGATGCCACCCAAGTCCCGGATGTGGTTTCGTATGAAGTTTGCAAGTGACGTATTTTCCAGTAAAACACTCGTGTCTATAAAATAAATCATGCAATGTCATGCTATTTCAGTATTATGCAATGGCTGTTGTGCTCAAATCAGAGCATTTTACACGTGTTAATACTCTAAACATTAAGCTGTTGTGTACTTAGCCTGCAAAGGGAAAAAGCCTTTCTGCTTTCGTTTGAGTAGTCACTGGGAGTCACTGGCGCCATGTCTTAAATAATACTCCAGATATTGAAGGGTCTGGATAACTGAAATTAGTATCTACTAAAACAGTGGATAGCGCTGAAGGCGCGCTCAGATTGGCGACTCAACTTTGCTATTCACCTTTGAGGAATGTGCGCCCAAAAACATTGTAATTGTTGCAGGAAAAGATGACTTTAAAAAAAAATCATCTTTTTGTGCTATATTATCTCACTGTTGTAGTTTATAACAACTATTCACCTCAGCGTTGGTGGCTAGTGGTGGATATTTACCTCTATCAGTTGCTTGGTGGCTCGATAAATATCCATCACCAGCCACCTCCACTTTGGTGTATACAATTCAAAAGTTTTAATTCACTTAGCAGTGATGAAATATCAGGCATTATAATCCATCAAGTATTTTTGCTCGCACGTGATTGGTCCAAACACATCACATGAACGACTATTCCCTAGCTAAAACTAGGGAATATCTGAGAATATTCCCCAATTTGAAAAACTGTGCATATTGCAAAAAATATTTGAAGGATAATAAACACAACGACCTCCATTTGAAGTTTAAAATATGCTTGGATATTTGTCCTTGGACATTATCTGTTCCTCAAAGCTCACAGTTTTCCTCAAGTTATGCTCTTGGAAAACTGTTTGCTTCCTTGAACAGACAATGTCCGCGAACAAATACCCGAGCTGATAACCCATCCATTAATTTTTGTGCAATTTCATTGGCTACTTTATGTCACGTGGTGGACAGTTATCACGCAATAACCCCCCTTTGAGTTGATATTTGTCCTCCTCCTCTGATATCCACTGAAAAAAGCAAAGTCTGCAGAAATAAAGCCAGCACAAGAGTTTCAATTTTCATCTTTATTATTTTACATGGAAGAAAAACGGCCTTCTTTTGTAGAGTCTAGTGATAGTGACATTAGAAAGCTGTTCTCAAATGTTGTTTCAACAAAATACGAACCAGAAAGCTAAAGAGTGCCAAGTTTTTTGGGTATTTCGAATTCAAATAAGGGGCACTGCAAGAGTTCATTTCACATCATTCAATTTGAAGAAGAAGCCTGTCAGATAACATTAAAACAAATGGACTTTCTGTATTTTTAAATTTCTGTTAATTTTTGTAAATTAAGTACTAAGTTTTTGTTATAAATAGTTTTTTTTAATTAAGTTTCTGGCAGGTCCCCACCAGCCTCTAGGTTGCCTCAAACCAACCAGCCTCAACAAAAAGTATATGTATGTATGCATGCATGTATGTATGTATTTATGTATGTATGTTTGTATGTATCACAGTCTGTCAAGTTTTGGTCTAATCACAGTGGAAATAAAGTTAAGCCGATCAAATTAACTCACCCTCAATAATCACGCCCATTCGCCCTCAGATCAACACTGGCTTTTGGTGAGCCATTCAAGTACGATACGAAAATTAATGGGAGGGTTATAAATTAAATAAACCACTTTCCGGCTTGCTGGTATGTTGGCTGATAACATCCTTGGCTGGGAGATTGTCCTCAAAATTTCATATTTGCCCTCAAAGACTTGTTTCTTGGCCAAATATTCAATTTTCAGACAATCTCTCAGCCATGGACATTATCAGCTGACATACCAGCTGCCCAAAGGGGTTTGTTTACTAAATACTTTTGTGCCAAATGGAGGCTATTGTTTATTTATACCATGCCTGAGAGTTACCTGCCAAAGAATTGTTTGAAAGTGAAGAATGATCATCATCATCAATTTAAGCAATTGGAAAGAAGAAGCCTGAAAAAAAATCAGGGCTTCAACAGGATTCGAACCCGAGACCTCTGTGAATACCGGTGCAATGCTCTACTAACTGAGCTATGAAGCCACACATTGGGGGCGAGGTCAATTAATTGAGTTCATATCATGTTAGTACTGTCTGCTTGTTACGACTTAAGGTCTGAAAATGTCCCATTAGTACATTTGCAATAACAAAATAAAAAACAAGAAGTGGCTTGAAGATTAAATGTTACTAAGATCCTTCGCCACCTTGGAAGTTGCACCAGCAAGTACAAACAGAACAAGAGTGATGTCACCAGTTGGCCAAGACTGTGGACCATGCCCATCTGATGGGAGGATGCTGCATAGTAATTCATGTAGGTCCTGATATGAGATGCCGGTTGCATTGAAATTGACGGAGGCTAAAAATCCCCCAGCCATTGAAAAAATTGCTTCAATTGTGTCCAAAGTTTGCTTGTCGTCATTACTAAGAGGCCCAGTTTGGTGTCTCAGAAAGGCACCAAGCTTGTGGAAAAGAGAAAATAATTCTGTATTCCTCCCTTGTCTGATGGAGTCAACAGTAATCTTCCCCAACGTCAACCACACCAACAACGACTGATTCACTTGTTCTGTTTCCATCTCAAAGAAATCCTCCCAAACTGAGTTGGACTTAATCTTGGCACGCTCAGCCTCAGTTTTCCCCATGGTAAAGGCAAACTGGTGTCCCTGAAGAATAGCTCTGATGTAGACCTCAATCAGTCTAGCACTATGCAGAAATTCCTTGATAGAGAGGACAGTTTCCTCCAAGGTTTTTGACAAACACTCAAGTTCGAGCTTGCTAACAAATTCAGTTACCTCAGGGTTGGTGATGGCTGTATGAGCTAAATGGCTTGGCAGGCTCAAAATTTTCCTGTTCAGTTTTCCTTTCACGTCCACCAATAAAATACCAAGGCGAGGTATTAGCCCAAGAAATTCGTCGTTCACAATGTTGCCAAAAGCAGCCAAAGGATCACTTAAAACATGGGAAATTTCACGCACAGCATCCTCAAGTGCCGATTTCGATGTCTTGTAAAATAAATTGTGCTTACGGATGAAGTAATGCGGGCAGAACCCTTCCATTGTAAATCGTAATAACTTTCTCAGAACCCGGAAGTACATATCCAGAGTACTTTCTTCAAACCAAACACTGTGTTCCTCTTCCTCCAGCATCCAAAACATGACTGTTTTGAGGTGATAGGAGGTTACTGCTCCTTGCAGCTTTCCTTTCAAGTGTCTCACATACAACGAACGCAAAAGGTAGTATACCTTAGCTTGGCATTCGCTGAAACTGTCGAAAAGTTTCGCTTCCGGTTCCGAAAACGAGAGCCTCCACTCCTTTCTTGTGTCCCCTGACATGTAGGAGGGCTTCGGTACAATCATGAAACCACTGGTGGAAAGGCTCCTCACCAAATCTGTGGTGGGCCAGTTCCTTGGCTGTCGAGTTATCCATTCAGATGCCTCAATCGGCCATCCCATACACTCGATTGCGGGTACGCGATCTACTTCACATTTGTTTTTCTTTGCGAGCGAAGTGAATGTATAGGCGGGTGACGCCTTGCCCTCGGCAGGCGTCTCTGAAGCGGTCCACGGTGCACTTGGCTTTTTATCGGCCATAAACTCATGGTGAAAATCCCTCTCGTGAACTTCTCTTGTACGCCCGGCTGAGATGAAGAGGATGCCCTCGTCGTCCTTTTCCAAAAGATCAAGGAAGGTCGACAGCGTGTAATATTTCTCTTTGAAGCGGTCACTGTAAGCCCGAGGAATGATAAGTTTTACGTGCGCTGGGGCTTCAACAACGGGTTGCATGATTTTACGTTGAGATTCCAGAGTCAAGATCTCCTCTGCTGGATTTAACACCACCATGAAGTCGGCATCACTGCGAATTAAGCCGGGATATCCTTCTCGGAAGCTACCAGTCAACAAATACCGCAGTTCCTCGTTCGACGCCTTTGTATAAAGATGCGCAAGAAACTCACAGCTCAGCCGAGCAGACTCAATATAATCTGTGTAAAATGGAAAACCATGGAGCAACACGCGGACCAGGTTTTCTAATTCAGACATGGTGGATTATGGCGATACTTTGTGACGATCAATCTTGTCATCATCAACATCCCATGCTTCCAGTCCTCCATATCCATCCTCAACCCCTGCCTCGAGTGTCCGGGAACGGGGATGGGGGAGCGGAGAAGCGGGGAGGGGGGAGGAGCGGGGAGGGGTGGGCGCATACCTCGCGAGCTCCAGAGATGTTTCCCTTGAGGTCTGCAACAGTAAGTGATGACATCCCATAATTTTGTAGCCCCAAAGGGGAGAAGGATTGACTTTTTAAACTCTTTTTTTATGAGCGGCGCTTGGTGAAGCACCTTGCGAAACAAGAAGATCTTTAAGATCTTACAACCGCGCTTTTAAAATTTACTATTTTGGTAGCACGAGTGACCCGAAGAAAAAAAAACGAAAAAAAAAAAACTATCGGTTTTGAACCTATTTCCGGCAAATTTGGCACACCGGAAGCTGAGAAAATTACTCTATTTCCGGCCATCATTTTTCAGCTCTTTTCGTCATATCCCC